TTTTTTTTTTTTTTTTTTTGGTTTTTTTTTTTTTTTTTTTTTTTTTTTGCATATGGTTGCCTAATTGATCTAGTGCAATTTGTCGAAAAGACTATCCTTTTTTCCTTTTTCCATTTAATTACCTTGGTACCTTTGTCAAAAATCAATTGACCATATATGTGTAACTCTATTTCTGTACTCTATTCTGTTCCATTGATCTATGTGTCTGTCCTTTTACCAATACCATACTATCTTGAGTACTATAACTCAGGAGCTAGCAAACTTTTTTCAGTAGATGGTAGGCTACATATAATTCCTGTTGCATACTTTTCTTTGTTTCTGTTTTTAACCATTTAAAAATCTAAAGCATTTTTAGTTTGTAAGACTTACAAAAACAGGCTCCAGGTTCAATTTGGCCCATGGGCAATAGTTTGCTGTAGCTTTATAGTAAGTCTTAAGATCAGATAGTTTGAGTCTTCTAGCTGTGTTCTTTATTTTATTTTTAAAAATTGATTTTGAGAGAGAGATTTATTCTTCCACTTACTTATGCATTCTTTGGTTGATTCTTGTTTGTGCCATGATCCAGGGATCAAACCCACAACCTTGGTGTATCAGGTCAACACTCCAGCTGAGGTACTCGGCCAGGGCCAACTGTGTTCTTTTAAAAAAATTTTTGGCTATTTTATCCTATTGCCTTTTTATACAAATTTTATCATTAGTTTGTCAATTTCTAGAAAAATAGGCTGCTGGGATTTTAACTGGGATTGTATTAAATCTATAGATCAATTTGGGAAGAATTAATATTTAACAATATTGAATCTTCCAATTCATAATTATGATGTATCTCTCAACTTATTTAGATCTTATTGTTGTGGTATATTTTAAAATCCAATGAAACATTAGACTTATACACATATTTACCACTTTATTTGTTTTTCATTCCTTCTCTCTTTTACTTCCCATCTGGTCTCATTTTCCTTCTACCTGAAAAATTTGTTTGCATTTTCTTTACTACAGGTCTGCAAGTAGCATGCTCACTTTTTGTCAACCTTGAAATGACTTTATTTTGCCTTCTGTATTAGTTATATGGCTGCACAACAAATTACTCCAAAACTTAGTGACTTAACAAATATAATCTCACAGTTTCTGTGAATCAGAAATGCGGGGGGAACTTTACTGGGTGGTTCTGGCTCAGCATCTCTGATGAGCTTTCAGGACATTTATTGGCTGATGCTTTGTGTATGGGAAGGCTTGTTTAGGGTCAGAGGAGCCACCTCCAAAATGGTTTGCTCACATGGCCATTTGCCACAGTTCTCAGTTTCTCACTATATGGACCTCTCCACAGGGCTGCCTGAGTGTCCTCACGTGACAGGGGTCTTCCTTCAGAGTAAGAGAGCCAAGAAAGAGCAAGGCAGAAGCCACAATATCTTTCATGACATGAGCTCCTACATCACATACCATTACTTCTAACTTACTCTGTTCATTAGAAGCCAGTCACTAAGTCCAGCACACGTCCAGGGGCAAGAGAATGAGGCTCCACATTTTGGATGGACTGTCAAATGTATTTCATACCACCA